GGCGTGCGCCGACGGCGAACGTCGCGGCGTCGCCTCGACTGGTAGCCAGGCAACGCGTATAATATGACCAGCGTAATAGTTTGAAACGAAACGGTCGCGGGAGCGGATCGAGTTCCTCGTCCAACCATTTCTTCCCCACTTTTTTTTTCATTTTTTTAATCTCGCGATCCTTCGTCGTCGTCGTCGTCGACGACATCGGGCTCGATGGAGAACGGAAGTGGCACGCGACAGTACCGAAGGGAACCAAGGGAACGCTTGTACGTACACGTCGTGCACGCTTTATGCCGCGTTTCCATCGTGGAAAATACGTTTGGTAATTTACGTCGACTGTATTTGATAGCGTTAGATCTTTTCTGTGAAGAAAAAAGAAAGAAAAAGAAGGAATAGAAGGAATGTTCCGGTATTTTGGAGGTTTCAAAGTATGGTCGGCATTAGATATATATATATATATATACGTGGAAGTGAGAGAAAATTTTGGGTTACAAAGTGTGAGTTTAATACCATTATGGTGCAGTAAAATAATCAAAAATAGAAAAAAGACTTGCGGATAGAATGTAAAAATATTGAACTATCCACGCAGAATCTTTAAAAACCAGAAGTTTGAGTTAGTATGATGTAGTAGTTTCATAATCTTTTTTCTAGCCGAATCAAGTATGCCAAGGCGATTGATAAGTACATTGCGGATATTCGTGTAATCATAGAAAATTTCAAAGTGAAAAAAGTTACATATAATATGGAAAAATAGAGGAAATATTCGAAGCAAAATATTCATTTAGATATTTCATGGAGGAAACAAATCCCCATTTTTCTTTAGTTATACTCATAAAAGTATGAAATTGCATAAAGATCTGCACTCTAGCCATAAGTTCTTCTTCTTCTTCTTCTTCGGTCTAGTCTAAGCCAATGTCTGTTAAAAAATTTATTTCGTAAATTTTTCACGATAAACCGCTAGCCTTCCAACCTAACGCCATTGCGTCCTACGGTTTTAAGTAAAATAATCAATGGAAAAATAGGACAACGTAGGTAAGAAAACAAAGGGGCACAAACTTTGTGAAATATAAAAAGGATCGTAACGCTTGTTGTATCATCGATTATATCTTTGCAACTCGATCTTTCTTGTCGAAGTAGTGAGATTAAATATGAGGGCGGTGGTGTGGGTTTCGATCTACCGAGTAGGTTGATGAGTTATGTAGTCATTTCAACGATGAATGACTATCTTTAAATTATCCTTGACCAAGTGCGATCCCAATGCACAGCTGTCGCTAGAAGATTTGAAATGTTGTATCGGTGTAAATCAGGCTTCAAGCATAAAAAATAAATACGACAGAATACGAAATGACGGTGCATGCTTGGCGATGGATATAATGAGAGACCGATGATAGTAATTATTCGTGATGGTTTGATTGCAACCGATTGATTGTCGTACATGCACGTTACGTTAAAAAGAAAAAAAGAAAAAAAAATCGCGGAGAGAAAGAAGTACTTGACGATGTTGTACATATTCTGGAATACTTCAATTTAATAATAACATTGATTAACGGGTGAATAGTTAGCGTGATAATCCGTTTTTAATTACAGATTTCATATTACATCATAAACTTTGTATCTTTTTATACGACATTAAAAAAGAAAGGTCGTCAGGTATCGTTTCATAGTCGGCTAAGCTGAAAGTTTCGTCAATTGAGTAGGCTTGGCATAAATCGATCGTATACCGGTGAAGGACGAAACAAACGGCGCAAGAACTATAAAGAAGCTTTGTTCGTTCGAATATTTATCTTGCATCGCGTGCATCAGACATTTTATGCAATAAAAGGAAACAAAATACCTCTTTTATACTTTTTCCAGTTCCACGAAGCTTTTATCGAATACGCAATTTTCTAACCTAAGAAATCTAGGCTATAGATGAAAAACATAATAACACATTTCCTGTTCTTTGCGAGAGAACAGTTTTGAACCTCGTTATGTTATCAATCTTCTCTGCGTCGAAGCTGCTCTTCCATTCGATTTTGCAATTATGTATGTGTCTTTCGCTTATCGTTTTCGACATTTGTGACGATATTAATGACATTAGTTAGGCAGGTTAATATTCATTAAGTTAGGTAAATACATCTCTTTCTAGTCACCGAATGTCATCAAAATCAGAAAATCAACAAAAATGTATTTATCACATTTTCTCCCGTTAAAACTACAAATAGAAAATTAGTCTAGAAGAATATATTTTTAAATAAAAAATTTGCCGAGTAATTAAGATCAACCGAAATAAATAAAGTGGTCGTGTAAAAAAATTCTAATATCTAAAAGTAGAAGTTTGAAATACGCTGAATGAAAATCGTTGAAAGAGAATAGAGAGAGAGAGAGAGAAGCGAATGAAAAATTCAAAGTCGCACGAAATCTTGATATACACGACGCACCATTGGCTATTTTAATACCGTGTCAAGGAGTTAATTATGCATGCTTGTATTCAAGATATTCGCTTTGTTTTCCATTGGGGCAATGTGCGTCTATAAAACTGGGACGTATTTTAATTTCCATATGAAATTCCTTGTATTTAATCTTAATCGAAGCTTTCCATTCACCTCGCCTCCATACTAATTTCTTTCGTCACGATCGCGTATTACTTTTTCCCTGACCAATTACAGGTTATTAACTTCGATCTAACTAATCCTCGACGATACGTTTTTATTAGCAGAGTCGGAATAAAATCGGAATAAAATTTAATCGAAGATGAGATTAACTTTTATAGCTACCATTAGCAATATTACGATGGATATTACGATTATAAGAGACTAGTTTTCTCGACAGTTTTTAGGATTTTTCTTTTAGGAAATGTATTCTTTAAAATCAGTTAATCTGTTAATAATCCTCTTACGTTAAAGCTGTTAATAAGATTATTACACATCTAAAATCGCAGCAGAGTATACGAGACTGTTTACATATTCAATTACGAGTCACAACGACAGACCATTCTGTAAAAAGTCTACGCGTTTTATAATTTCCTTTATATTTTTCTCTCGTTTTAGCCTTAAATTGCCCTGAAACAAACGAACTACTCTATCGTTTTCCTTTGTGAAAAAATCGAACCGCGAAGCGCAGCTGATCCACAGGCTTCGGGAAATTATCTCGTTGTTCGATCGACAGCACGCTAATGTTCCAGCTTTGTTGATATACAAGATATCGAAGTAACGTATTATCATCTACATCGAAACTGATTCTACCATTAAGAAAAGTACGATTCTAACCGACAAAACAAACGAATCCTATATCTGCTAAAAGTGTAACTTCACATACATATATCTAACATTTTAAAATTTCTTTTATGCTTTGAGCTTCTTATAACAAAAAAGTTCTTCCACATCTTAGGATCTTTTGAAATATTTTATATCATAGAATATCCCAAACCCGACTTTCTTAAAAATATCTTTCGATATAAATGAAACTATAAAAGAAAACAGTTTGTTCCTGTTCGTGCTACCATACGAGGTCAACTATCGCGGAGGAACGCGGACCAACAGGTTGGAAGGGAAGGCGAGGACAGGGGATCAAAGGCTAAAAAAAGACGAATTAAAATTGTGCAGGTAGAGTCTGCGGTATGCGACAAAAACGAGCATTTTGATCGAGGAAAGCCAGGAAGATCGAAGGCCGAATAATTCGATGCAAATGCGTCAGGCAGGCATCGAAACGACACGACGGTACCGCCAAGCTCGAGTATATCGTGACTACAACAACACGCTCCAAAATGTCCTACGGCTCGAATCCATCGGTGAAAAGGTAAGGGGTGGCTTTTAGCTGGAATCTCCGCAAAGGGCATGATCGATAAACCACGACACCATTTTCAAAAGGTTCTTGTACGAATATCGTTTTAAAAAGTAGTCGTGTCTCGACGATTGACTTAGAGGTAATCGTGAATCTCAACAACGAAAATGAATTCACAAGGAAAGCTTAAAGCGAGAGTTCTCTATCTTTTTCCTTTAGGAAATTTCAAACAACTTTTATATCTATCTTTATTATAATTGTAAAAACAGTCAAGACGATCCCGATTAGTCGAATAAATTAAAGCTAACCAATAATACGCTTACAAATAAAATAGATTTGTTCCGTGGCTCTCTTTAGTCATTGTTCTAAGAAATCTTTATATATCCAGCTTTACGCACACGCTAAATTATGTTTTTAGCTGGTGAATTTTTTCGATTACGTTATATCCAATTTTACGCCACACACGTATTATGTAGCTATTATCGTTGCTTTTCTTCTACTTCTCTCTTCGTATTTTCTATTCTCTTTTATTTCTTGCATCATGTATAGATATATACACAATTGTGCGTGTATCTTGGCTTTACAATCGTTCTATTAATAAATGATAACAATGACAAGAACCTACTGTAAATAAACACCAAGGTCTATCCTTGTCATAAATAAATCTCAAGCTCGTCAATTTCGATAAATATCGACGAATCGTACAGATTTGTAGACAACATCGAACATCGATGCTTTAGGTTTCTCAGGTTTCTCAGGTTATGTAAAACGTAAGAATTCAATCGTAAAACACGATACGCAAAGTGGTTCTTAGAACAGGCATAAAAGTGGACAAACCGTGTGAGAAAAGGAACGTTTCAGGACCGCGTTTCGGCGAACGATGACAATGCTGGCCGCTATGGAAGCTACTTCGAACAAGCGTAATATCACGAACATGTATGAAGATGCCATTTTACCAGAATACAATGTCACCACGACAGCAAGCGGAGCGGCTAGTAAGACGAGTCACTTCGAGACCGATTTGCATGGGAATGTTAACATTCTTCTCGGCGGGTGAGTAACCGGCTTTCGATGCACGATACTCAATACCGGTCGATCGATACGATCGGCGATACACAATCCCGCAATCCACAGCTTTCAACGACTTTCTATCGTCACACGGGGAAACTCTACACGTGTTTTCGATTTAGTCGAACGGTATCCCGCGGTAATATTTTGTTCTATTGTACCTTGGCGGAGAATTTGCCTGGAATTTTCTTCGATGAAATAATGAAAAATTTTTCTATGCAGAAATAAACGCAGGGAATTTATTTAAAATTGCTTTTCTACAGAGTCATGAACAGTGAACCGATTGTAGATATTTGGCCGTGGAACCTGATCATTGATTTATCGATGAATATTTTTCTATATCGTTACGTTAATATTACAAAGAATTTAGTTTCAAGACTGTGAGGTATTTATTTTACAATATCGCGGGGAATTCAGCCAACGTTTGTCTATAGAAAGAAATTTACTTTAGATATTTTCCTCTGCTATGATAATATGGAATTTATTCGATATATTTTCTTGCGGAATCCCGTCATCCAATATCTTTCCACGATACTAAATTTTCTTTTAAATATTTCTCATCTAATTAGAAAGAAGGTTGAAAAAGTTTATTTTATATTTATCTTATTTTATGGAAATAAATTAATTACGGAGAGCCTAGTTCGTACATTTTTCTACGAAATCTCTGTGAATTTATATTAAACACTCTTCTACGCAATTACGAACGATTTATCTGAAATGTTTCTAGGAAAGTTCTATCGTTGAATATTTCTGTCGGGAATCAATTTATTTATTTAGATAACCGTAGAAAATTTATTTCAACTACTTCTAGATCGAGCAACCTTTAATTGAACCATTTTTATGATGTTCGAGTGCTATTAATAGGAATACGTTTCAGGATGAGTTGTTCCAGCTATTTGTATTTTCAACGGCTTCATTAACTCATCGATCGGTGTTATGTAACAACGAACGACGTAAATACGCTTTATTTAAATTTTAAATTATCTCCGTAACATGATTAAACAGAGAATCTGATAAGGAATAATTAAGGACGCCAGAGACGAATTTGCATAGGTTTATTATTTTTAAATCACTTGCAATTTATAATATTAATCAACTAACGGCGTCTTTTTGCTTGATTAAAGTCTACGCAACTTTCATACGGTTCTTCCCTGCAGAGCAAAGAAAAGATAACATCCGGTAAGCACGATTTAGCCTCCTTTCTATGTTATAGACCGTATTTACTGAGTAAACCACTAGATCAGTGTTTCTCAAACTCGATTAGCATAAGCAGCGAAACTTCATCATCTTCTTCAACTTCTTACGCTACAAACGCGCGAGTAACTTTTTGGAAAAAAAAAGAAAAAGAAAGTAAACAGGACATACCGTACTTAGTACTGCGAGCCTTCGTATTAAAAAACTTTGCGAAACTTTCATTCAATATCGAACATGTCATCGTAGAAACACTAAAACCTCATCGAAGAAGAAGAAAAGAAAATTCGATGGAAATTGAAAGAGAAGATGCTCGGTCGGATCTCTGGACGAGTTTATAAATTTCGTAATTTCAATTTGGAACAAACGAAGGACGTTTCAATCAATTTTCAAGCAACTTTAGAGAGATTCTTTAGAGAGAAAGATTCTACGCTCGACTTGATTTAAATCGTTCAAAATTATTATAATAAGATCGTTATTTATATAGTAAAGACGTAGCAAAGAAGGAAAGAGAATTCGCGAATCCTCGAACGACTGTAAAATTCGACAAATTGTATCAAAACTGACGTCGCAAATTTTGAAAATATCGCATTTCCGTGATTTTTATTGAAGAAATAAGTCGAGTTGGCTCGTGACTCATAAAGAGAACGGTTTGCACAGGAAGTGGCTCCGTCACCGTAATAATTGCAGGAACAACTGTATTACAGTAGCCGTGATCATTTAATACGCGGCGTATCGTAAACAACGGCCATCGAATCACCGGTTTGCCACGATGGTGAAGCTCGTGGTCGCAGAAATCGTCTCGACGAACCGTGAAATCGCAGACTCGTCCTTTTATCCGCGTGAAACGACTCTCAACGGCGGAGACTGTTGCTTACCGTCTGCCATTACGCTCAAGTTTCTAACTTTCAAAAAGCGTTAAAGCCATTAAGGACACTTTGAGGATTAGTGAAAGCGATTATCGCACTCGCAACAACAATCTCCAAGTTTAACATTAGCGAATATTAGCCACACTGATATTTTGCTGTCTGAGTTTGTGTTAAATCAATCAGCGACAGATTTTTTTTTACTCACTTTTTTCGGAGGAATAGCTTCTTTGACATCTGTACCTCGATTTCGAAGTTTCTTTTCATTTCTGTCGCCTACAATATAGAGGGTGATTCGTTTAAATCGATTATTGTTAATATTTCTAGTACTTTTTTATTTGATATGATGTTGCGGGCAGAAAGGGTGGAATTTTAAGGGATGCTAAAAGCTTTTTAAAGGAACTCGCCGCTCGATCGCACTACGAAACAAGTTTTTAAGAATATATTATATCTTTGAAACGATATTAGAGCGATCGACTTAAACGAAATGTTCTAAAATACTGACATACACGTGGTTGGATAGGGAATAAAGACGAAACGAACGAACGTCAACCCATAATTTATATCTCATTCGATTAACCGTAGCTGTTTATCACGATACGTTACTTGAAAACTATTTTCTTCCTTTGTCACGATGTTGCCGCCAGTAGAGAATTTCTATTGTAAATATACAAATGAAAAAACATTACAAATAGATTGATATTTACATAACTGTTGAAACAAAAACTTGTCGGTATATATTTTACTTTGACCTTCATCTTATACCTATGTTTTTGAATTATATGTATTTTCTAGATTCTTACATACATATTTAAATTTCTCTCCTCGTATAGGTAAACAAGTTTTCTATTACGAACAATTCAGAATAATTAATTCACGAGAAATTTACCTCGCATTTTAACATACGCGTTTCTATACGCCGCTATATTTCCTGCACTACGCGTCTTTTGCATATTTACGTTTCCTCTAAATCCACCATACGTAATTCTCCCATTCATAAGCAACCAAAATTTCTATTATAAAAGTCTTAAGAGTACGCCGTTTAATTCGCGACAAAATTCACCCTATAAGAGAAGCTGCGCGTCTACGAATCTCGTCTAAAATCGATAATACGATGAACCGTGGCTGAAGATGATTTAAAACGGCCACACAACTATGAGGGAAGAGGTTGACGCGCGATAAATATACGCTCGATGGTCTCATTTCTCTCTTGGCTACACGCTCACGTTATTCTAACTCGCGGCACGGGCTCTGTTTTCTTGCAGGGCGATGCTCAGCGGCGTGATTATGGTCGTCCTACTGATGTGTTACTGTTGTCACAAGAGCATCCGGAAGAACCGACCGCAAGAGTACCCGCAATACTGGAGGACAGAGCCAGACGTGCATAGCCTCGAGGTCTTCACCACGGAAGCGCACGCTGCTGTGAGTAACCTTTCTCATGATGCACATCAAATTGCTTAATTGACACGTCTTCTTTATACGAATAGACGATTCATTTCACGTTTACCACCACTATAACGTTCTTGTGAAATAAAAATTTTCTTCTCACACGGTGAAATTTTCATTTATATAATGGTATAATTTAACAGAGACGAAAGGATAATTTCGCTAACGTAAGATCGATTGGCCTGTGTAAAAAATCTGACAACGTAGCTTCATCCATTGTTTCTCATCTGACGTTCAGAATAACGACAATGACGAGAAATAGGCAAATAGAAATAAGTCGGGTCAACGAAGGGTTAGTGCACTCCGTTGGAAACAATTCGACTCGAGCAAATATCACGAAGGCAAGCAGAAAGGGTTAACAATAGCAAGATCTCAGTTTGAGAAAACGACGGTCGTAATTTCAAGCATTTATCAACGCAAAGTACGGTATACATCGTGTTCATTATGATTCGCGTTCACGAACGTGGTGCACTTAAAAGGCACGTTATGTAAGATTCAGTTAAAATAGCACACGCGAACCGAAGTTTCCGTGGCCCGATCAGATCGGGTTGGATTTAGGTGATGGTCGGATCTACTCGATCGTTCCGAGAAACGGATATCTTATCCGTGTTTCCCGACAGGCTATAGCTAAAATCGGTAGCCTCGTTTTCGACGAAAACCAACCCTGTTCAGGTTAATCCGGCCTTGTGCTAAGCGCGATAAGAACATATTACGCGATGATTATATTATGCCGTATAACTGACTAATCGCGCGATGCTCTATCATTTGCGGTGAAATCGTTTGCGGTTACCCTGGCTAAACTAATACGATCCTATCGATCAGGAATCTTCGTTTCACGCTTGGCTCGACTTTCGTCCGCACTCTTATCCAATGAAAACTGTGTGTTACGTCTCTGTCGAAAGACTGACAATTTTTAGATTAATTCACGAGGAAAGTTAGAGAAGCTGAAAGTTAAAAAAGTAAAAAAAAAAGAAATGATGAAAATTTTAAGTAAAAGTAAAATAGGTCATCCTCGAGGAATCCCTACCGTGATATCTCTAAGAATGTTTCGTCTTATACGATTAATACGATGTTCACCTTTAATACTAACGTTTTACGTTAATTTGATATTAAAGACGATCTTTACAATTTAAGTGATTCGCGAGAATACGTATATATATGTATATCTATACCGATGAAAATTAGATAAACGTTCTTTTGGTAGATCTGCCTGATGCGTGACGAACATTCCACCATCGATTGGCCAGATTTCGCATAAATTAAATAATTACTCGCGTATCGATTATATAAGCTTTAATTGTTCATTGTTAGACACGTGGACATTAATCTCTAGCGTTTAAACGCTTATTAGCATCCTGCCTCGTGACTATTTCGTTCGAATCGCAGACTTGTTTCTCATAACGAAATAAGGCTCGTCTCGTTTCGATCTCCGCCAAGTTCTAAAACTAAACTCTAAAACTCCTCGATATTGATGTTCGTTTTTTCAGTGCTGCGATAGACAATCGATAGGCGAGGGAAACTTGGACGAGAGCACTTACGGACCCCCTTCGTGTCCTGTGACGCCAAACTCTGGCCCTGGACCACCACCGACCTACGACAGTCTGATCTTCGACTCAAGAAGCCTGCCCAACTTCATCGATAAGAAGCCCGAAGGTGCGGAGACGCCAGGAATTATAATCCCTTCCATGGTGTCTACGTTACTAAGCTTGAGCACGACCGTGAGATCCACGGAATGCAACGAGGCCACGGAACAAGAAATCTCGGACGAAGGATTGCCTTCTTACGAAGCCGCCTTAAAGCTGGACGCGAACGGCTACGTGTAACACCGGCGACCGACACGCCTCTCTGATCCCGAAGAATTTTACGATTCTTCGAATCGATCGCGTTCCTTCGCGTATCTGTGTTCAAGTAGAGCAAAGAGATTGGAGCGTCGAGGGATTGGAAAGAAGGAAGTTAGGTCCATTGATTTTTCACTTTTGCGCCTCCACTTCTCTACCTACGTTTGGGAAAGCCTTGCCTCCTTGTGTTTACAGCGTCGCGAAGAGAAGCTTTTTCGACGGATCAGACTGAGACTCGAGCAAGACCGTGCGCAATTGAAATTTCTGAAAGTTACGATCCAAAGGAACAGGACGAGCAAAGAGTGACACTCGGAGTGGAGCAGTTGGAGGATGTTTGGAAGAGAAGTTTCTAGTCTTCGTTTTTGATCTCGAGAGAAGAATTCGTCGAGCAACGAAATTGTAAGTTGACAAGCATCGGACGCTTAGATCTAATTGCGGAATTTTGAAAAAACAGAGCGAATTTATCGAACCAAGATCGAGCAGTTTCCAATCGATATGTTCCAAGTTACTTAGAAGGAAGATATAGGCGTTCTTTTTTTGGCTTCGAAGAAAAGAGGTTTGTCTCGAGGAAGAAGTTGAGATAAATAGAAGCACCTGTGGATGTTCGATCTTGCGATCGAATTTATGGGAGACGAGAAATCGTTCGATGGAGAATAGATTGCAATCCATAGGTTCGAAATTACGTGCCTGGCAAGAACGATCTTCGCCTGTGATTTTTAAAGAAGAAAAGAGCCGTGAGATAAATATTCAGGACAACATTAAATTTCTAATCGAGTTTGCGACGAATGAAAAATTACGTATCGAGTGATGTGCTTCAGACTATTTGAGAAAAGAAAGGAAACAGTGACGGTCGAAATGGAGTACGCGAATCAGGTTCGATTTTTCTGAAACCGTGACACTCCATCTGTGAATTATTATCTGTGAATATAATGCGATTAGATGAATGTTGATTTGTGTTTGATTAAATCGAATACCGAGATTCGAGAATTCAGCAACATCGTGCAACGAACGTATTCCAAAGAATATCCCGCATAATATCTCATTTCATATCATTTAGAAACTCGAATTCTCATCAATTTTCATGTAACGTGTAAACCTGCTCTAAATAAATACGAGAAATATATAATACACGAGCATTTGAGAAACCAGGCGTGCTAATTGTTCCAACTATCCACAGTGTTAAATGTCGGATATATTCGCAGCAGCTGCAGTGAACCCGTGGTAATCGCGTAAATTCGCGTAAATAAAAAGACAGAAACAACGATATCCGTTGGACAGATCGCGATCGTCGTTAAACTTCTCATCGGCTGAAATAGTACGCAGAGAGCGCAAGAAATCGATGATCTTATCCTTCAGCAAGTGAAGGCCACTTTAGTGGTCCTCAACCATATCGTTGATCAGCTTAAAGACCACTTTAGGCGGGCATGAATTACGCCTTCGTTTATGGTCGTTCGCGGAGCTGATCGAGTGTCGCGAATTCGTCTATGTGTTAGTTAACGCGGCTGGTCGGAGTCCTCGAAACGGCTTATGAAAACATATTTCTTTTGTCGGCGAGGAAAACACGAGAAAAAGGATTGAAAGAAATTTTGGCCAGAGGTTCGGATATCGATAAAAATGTGCAGCGCGACGATTCTATTAATCGAAGGAAACCAATCTGACAAAATTGCGCGATAAGCGAGAGGATTTAATACATCGTTCTCTGAGAGGCGAGAAATTCCACGAATTTGGATTTGCCACATTTCTTCGATGATTTATTCTCGTTCCGAAAAGAATATTTTTAGTTTCAATGGTGAAAGCAAGGGAAAGAAAATTAAGGAAAATATCGCGAGGTTCCGATAGCGACGAAAATATCGAACGTTTTCTTTTAATCGAAGAAAATCAATCTGGTAAAATGGACGAAATAGAGAAATAATAAATAAACGAAGTGACTCGATATCGTGCTTTGAACAACGGCGAATTCGTAATATCTCTTCTGATAATAGATACGATAATAGATAAAAACAGCGATATGAATTATTCGATTCGAGCGTAAGACTTGTTCCTTTTGAAAATTAACAAACGACGAATATCCGACGAATTATCTAGAAATATTTGTCTTGCGGAGGAAAGATAGTTTAATCTATTCCCAATTTCTTATCAAGCAAATAAAATATCAGTTAAAGCATAAAATCATAAGCACATTTTAGTAACGATATAGTATATAACGAAATGATAATATTCCACTTTAAAATTGCAAGTGTAATGAATTATTATCTGGCTTATCAGTCAGAGACTAAATAACATGTTATAATTATAATACAAGCATGTAAATTGTCTCCTTAATGTCAGTGATTACGCGGTGACAAGTTAATTTCGAAGTGTATTCCCGTGTTTCAGATAGTTATTGCTTATCTATAGTTATTTCATTCAACGAATTCCGAAACGTGTGACGTCGGGACCGGATACACATTGCAATCCAAGATAAACGATATGTTATCGTCGAGCAGTATGCAAAATTAGCATAAAACTAATCACCGCGGAGTTTGTGACAATCCCTCGAGACAGCTAATGCCATTAACCGACAAATTAGTTTATTTGTTTATTCATATGTTTCCTCCATAGCGTATAATAAAACGATACGTATTAATATAACTTTGTTTTACGCTCAAGTCTTTTGCATAAATAATGTTTTTCTATTTTCTTTTCTTAACCGCGATTATTTAAAAAATCCTACCTGATAAATTAAAAGAAGAAATTGTTTCTCTTAAATCGTCTCAAACTATCTTCAATTTCTGCCTCGATTATATTTTTATTTTTTATCGATATCCGTGTATTTTTCCTCGTGATTCAAGCGTAGTTGTGTACGTTGTGCATAGAGTGAAATCATGATAGTCGTATCTCGTTATAGAGCTGATAAAATTGCAAGATCTTTCGTATTACGCATAACGGTAGTTCATCGAGTGTTTTAACAACAGTTCAAATACTTTCACGAGCCTCTGTAATTAGGGTAACGTGTACTCCATGGTATCTCAAGTATCGTATTTCTAATATCTACGTATACAGGCGTTTAAATAACCTTTAAATCGCGTAATATCAGTATAATTATTACAATATGGTAAGTTGATCGTAGGTCGTTCGTTATCATCTGGAATGGAATTATTTACGAGATCCACGGCTACCTTATTTAAAAGTTCGTGATCGAGAGTAGAAAAGTTTCGGCGTGTAATCATTTTCCGATCTTGTCGGTTGGAAAAGAAGGAGGGTCGGAAGTTCAGCAACTACCCTCGTGAACGGTTCGACGATTTCCGGTCGGCTGCGAAAGTGGATTGCCATTCGTGACAATAAATTATTTCACGCCCGTTAAAGCAACCTTTTTTGTCACGACGGAACGTTACGAAAGAGGAAATCGTAAAACGAGCTGTGAAACGATCCGCGATGTTGTAAGCCCGTGCTTCGCTTCTTCGAAGGCTTATTTCTTCGAGAGGAAAGAAACCGATTGTACCAAGAAAAATTTCTATCGATCAGTGTTTGGTATAATATCGATCGTAACTTACGATTATCTTTCGCCTCTCTCATAACTAATCCATTCCATTATTTTTAAATTGTCATTATTGTTACCTAAACGAGGCTCGATAAGCCCAGAAACCTGATTTTCAGTAGATTATGGTTTTCGAATATTTTCAGCTTTACTTAGATATCGATCGTCTCTCGTATATCTAACAATTCATTTACGGCATCGCTTTGGAATTTGTCAAATCCGGTAAACGAGGAAATTTGAAAAATTTCTATGAATCAGTGTTTGCTATAATATCGATCGTAACTTACGATTATCTTTCGCCTCTCTCATAACTAATCCATTCCATTATTTTTAAATTGTGATTATGGTTACCTAAACGAGGCTCGATAAGCCCAGAAACCTGATTTTCAATAGATTATGGTTTTCGAATATTTTCAGCTTTACTTAGATATCGATCGCCTCTCGTATATCTAACAATTCATTTATGGTATCGCTTTGGAATTTGTCAAATTACTCCAACTCCGGTAAACAAGGAAATTTTCTACCAACGTTCCAAGCCAAAGGATATGAAATAGAAGACTTGCATAATATTTTCTACTTGTAGAATACAATTAACGTAATTTCAATAATCGACCATTGAATGTACGTATCGTGTCGTCTAACGCATATTCACAGGCCGTGAAAAATCGAGAAACAGGTCGTACGAGTTCGCGTATATTTCTGACGCACTGCAAACAGGAACGTAATATGTTTCGATTAATTGGCCTTGCCGTAATGGTGCCACCGTCTGATTCATTATCCACGTCGACCGTTCGACGACAGAATAATCGCGTGTTTTACAACGTCGCTGGATTTCGGGTTTAAACAACGAACCGGAGAAAACCGGTTGGCTTTTCACAGACTTCCACCCTATTCACCCCTTGTTCCGTTGGTTTCTCGTATTTTCTTCCTATCACTTAATAGGATATTTTCGATTCAGGCGACTTCGTGAAGCGTGTTACTCGTCTTTTATTCTAGTCCACTCTTATTTGAAGAAGAACGCTGTTCTGTACATCTAAGTATCTTCGTGAACGTTTAGATATTATTTTATTGCCACGAGGTGTAGAGTATTCGAAGAAAGTATTCGAATACTCGCAGAAACGTCTGACGAATAAATATTTACTATTATCTTCCAGCTCTCTTATAAATAATCCATTGGATTGTTTTTAAATTGTCATCGTTGTTACCTAAGCGAGGCTCGATATGCCTCTGAAATTACCTTGAAATAAATCTAAGACATTCTGAAATTTCATAAAGAATATAACCTAACAAACACGAAGATGGTACCCCCACTGGGGGTAGCCACCCACATGATAATCAAACAGCTAAAAAATTCTACCAAATGTCCAAATTGGACAAATTGTGGACAAATTGTGAATGTGAAATATTAAATAAAAAAAAAAAAAAAAATTCTGAAATTTCATAAAAGCCAAAACCTAGAAAATGTGAAATTAAACGTATCCATGTGACTTTGATTCTCTGAATTTTACGTTGAACCGGTTTGTACAGTAAGAAAAAGCCAAATATTTTCTCAGCGAGACGAAGACGAATCCTTTCCTGCCGAGCCAACTAATTACGAGAAAACGTATTTGAATCGTCGATGAAGTTTTACGCGGTACAAGAAAGTGGTAAAATTTTCCATGACAAATATGGATACCTTCGTAGAATATTTACACAGAAATCATTGTTCTCTGTGAGATTAATTTCTAAGGGTTGTAATAGCAGAGGTGTAAAATATATTAAAATTACACGAGAAGAAGTAACCGAAGGCAAACGAAACGAATTAACTTTTGTCGGTCTAACATGCGTTCTGTTCACGAGCCGGATAAGAAACTCGTTCCATTTCGGTTCAGATAGACGAGTTGCTTGAACAAATAACCGATCCACGAAAGTACTAGCGGAAAAGACAATGGCACGCGAGCCAAGATCGTCTCGAGCCGTTTCCTCGTCTCGTGTATGCCCTCGAAACGGTGAAAGCGACTAACAAAGAACCGTGTTGTAATTATTTTAGCAAGGAAAGCCCGTGCCGCGCGAAATCGCTGCAATCGAAAGGATAATTCACGAATTCGCCAGATAACTATTCATCGTAATCGGAAATTAAATGGCCACTTTTTAAAAAAGGAAATTTAATTACTTATTTTGTTACATTTGGGAAAATATTCTGCAAACAATTCGTACGTTTTATATACAAATACAAATTGTTGCTATGTTATTTATCGTTTATCTACGATAAAATTATCCCAAACAAAGATTCATTGGTATTAAATAAAAAGCCAATTGATTCTCGATGGTATCTCTTTTTCTACAAAAACATCGAAGCTATGTTGTGTTCTTTAAGGTAGGTGCCATAAATATTTATCTGTAATATTTAATCGGGGTTTTTAATCTTCTACGGATAAACAAATTTATGTATTGAAGTTATTTATCGGTCCTTTAATTTTCAAGTTCTACGTTTCCGAAGATTACGTTCGAGTAAAATTTCAAGCCAACGTTAAGAGACAGAAACAAGCGAAATGTTATAACGAGGACAGCACGTGATAATAAATTACGAATCGATGCGAAATTAAATAGTACAAAGTTCCAAGGCATTCCAGTTTCATGGA